TGGCGGGGTTTCGGTACACGGGACTTTCTCCTCACGTCTGCTCGGATGTGGAATGACCACCACCGTCCATAATGCCACTTTCCATTGTGTTGATATCTGCTTTGATGGTCTGGCATCCTCTTGTTTACTTCTGTCAGGGTCTGCGTGGATTGCGAGCAGCCGGCAGTAATAGCCTGGTTGAACAGGCCCTGATCCACCTGGAGGCCTGAACCGCAGGGAGCGCTGACCCCCAGAATGACCTCCAGGTACGAACCGTAGTGAACCACACACTAAATGTGACTAGCATAGTGAAAATATATATATAAATTATATGCTGTATATATATATATATATATATATATATAATATATATGTCGTGCCGAAAAAGTAAAACTTGCTATTCTGGCTTAAATAGCAACGTTCTTCTTGCCGAATAAGGCAAGCTAAAATTTGTGTAGGCAATAATTTCGCAAAAATCATTCTGAACCTAACGAAAAAAAATATATTATGTTTATTATTAAATTATTGTAAACCTATCTAAAATATATTTAGTTGTATTAAGCTAAATTAAATTGCGCTTGTTATAATAAGGTTATAAGAAGTTTTTTTGGTACAAAATTATTAATTTTTACATTAACATACATGAAAAAATATATCTTTAAATGCACAAAAGGAAATTTTAGAAAGGACTTAATTTTAAATGAGTTATTGCTAATTGACCAGTTTTACCTATTCGGCACGACATTATATATATATAATGTGTGTGTGTGTGTGTGTGGTGTGTGTGTGTGTGTGTGTGTGTGTGTGTGTGTGTGTGTGTGTCTATAATGTGGTAACTTAAGCTTTTCTATGGCTGGCTCAAGCTTATATACACAAGTGTATATATATCTCAAAGTATACACACCGAGACGCTTGGATCTCTGTATATAGACTAAAAAGTGTACATACACCGAGAGGTAAAAATGTATTTTTATTGTATGCATGTATGCACATGTGTATGCATTGTATGCGTGTATGTGTACACACCTGATGTCCCTGTTCACCTAGCAGTAAGTAGGTACCTGGGTGTTAGTGGACTGGTGTGGGTGGCATCCTGGGGGACAAGACTCCAGGCTAACCCTCCCTACCCCGGGTTAAAAATCATAAATCTTACGTGTACGTATATTTATATGTATGCATACGTGTACGTGTATTTGTGTGTATATGTGGTAAAAGTTAACGTACATCAAGGGCTGCCAGACGTACGGTACCCATGTTTATTTCGTTATTGTCTGTGATTTATGAGAAAAACACAAGAGGTTATTAAACTCTAACCAAATTAACTAACAGATCAACATGTAACAGGTGGCGCCATTGGGAACGTAGAAGCAGGAACGTAGAGGCAGGAACGTAGAGGCAGGAACGCAGAGGCAGGAACGTAGAGAGGCAGGAACGTAGAGAGGCAAGAACGTAGAGAGAGGCAGGAACGTAGAGAGAGGCAAGAACGTAGAGAGAGGCAGGAACGTAGAGAGAGAGGCAGGAACGTAGAGAGAGGGGCAGGAACGTAGAGAGAGGGGCAGGAACGTAGAGAGAGGGGCAGGAACGTAGAGAGAGAGGCAGGAACGTAGAGAGAGAGGCAGGAACGTAGAGAGAGAGGCAGGAACGTAGAGAGAGGCAGGAACGGCACCTGGTGGGAAAATGAACGGTCGTAAGGCTGAACATCACTCACCTTCACTCGAGCATTAATTAGGCTATTAAAAACAACAGGTAATTAGGAATTACAAGGGTTCGCCTAACTAGTGAGTGGCTAATAGTTTGTTAGGAGAGGGGAGGTAGGAGCGTGTGTGCTCGCCTATCTGTGGTTGCAGGGGTCGAGTCGCAGCTCCTGACCCCGCCTCTTCACTGGTCGCTACTAGGTCCACTCTCTCCCTGCACCATGAGCTTTATCGTATCTCTTCTTAAAGCTGTGTGTGGATCCTGCCTCCACTACATCACTCTCAACATTGTTCCACTTCCTGACAACTCTGTGACTGAAGAAATACTTCCTAACATCCCTGTGACACATCTGTGTCATCAACTTCCAGTTGTGACCCATTGTGTGTGTACTTCCCTAATTGTGGTTGCAGGGGTTGATTCATAGCTCCTGGCCCCGATCGTGTGTGTGTGTATACTTACATGACCACTAACAAGTGTGGTTGTCAGACAATGTCGGACCCCCTACCAACCACAGCTAGGAAAGTACACAGCTTTGCATATTAGTAGCAGCGATTAGTGTCTAATTTAGCAAAGTGCGTACACTTAAAATTTAAGTGGCCCAGGGTTCCCACACAGTACACTTGCAGCATAGGTTTACAACAGCGTCAAAACACAGTGAGTGGAAGACGGCCCAGGAGTTCGAATCCTGAACGACGTATCGGTTCATCCTGAATTATTATTGAGAGAGACGATAACGATTCAGAAGGAGCCGAAACGTTGTTTAATGTACGTTTCGACTTCATGGGCAGGCTGACTACACTAGGGTCATGGGCAGGCTGGCTACACCAGGATCATGGGCAGGCTGGCTACACCAGGATCATGGGCAGGCTAGCTACACCAGGATCATGGGCAGGCTGGCTACACCAGGATCATGGGCAGGCTGGTTACACCAGGATTATGGGCAGACTGTTCTACGAGAAAGAAGGTGGGTGTAGTGTAGAGTGTAGGAGACCTGCGCCACTAGTACACACACTAGTATACACAATAGTACACACACTAGTATCCCACCAGTTCTTGCCCCAGACTAGGACTTCCGCTATGAGGCTCCTCCGTCTCTCCCCACCCGGCCTAGGCTTATCCTCCCCACTCTTGCGTCTCCTCTCCTCCCTCGGGGCGGCAAGGTGAGAGGCGGGGGCAGCCAGGTGAGCGGCGGGGGCAGCCAGGTGGGCGGCGGGGGCGACGGCGGCTTCTTGAGTGAGGAAGGTGTGAGCAGTGGACACCACCACCTGGGAGTGTGAGCGCTGAGCCCGGGGTCTCGACGCGTACCCACCGAACATACCAAAGGCATCGTCGTCATCACTGCTGTTGTCCATCCTGTTGTGGCAGGGTGTCGAGGCTGCCTCCTGCAGGCAGGGGACGCCACCATGAATGGTGCCTCACGGTGGGTATACAGTGTCAGGTTGTAACACTCTGGAGGGCCATAGAGGGTGCGTGGCGCAGAATAACAGCAGTGAGTATGGTCCGTGTTGTGTGGTTGGTCACAGCAGCAGGGAAGACGCAGGGTATGATCCGTGCTGTGTGGTCGGTCACTGCAGCAGGGCAGCAGTTGGGTAGTGGTCCGTGCGGGGTGGTCACTCACTGAGGTATGGCACTAGACTATCCCTGGCACCTTGATCCTTCAGCAGGCAGCCAATGGTCGCCCTCCGCTGCACATCCACACCCACTCCTCAAGCACACTATACTCAACACTTCTAGTATCAACAAAAGTGTGTCTTCGTTACACTGCCTTCGTCACTGTCTCACCTGAAACTACTTCAATCAAGGAAACATTGAAGGTAAACAAAGCGATCAGCCTTCACCCTCGTAAACGATAATGAGAATCCACTTTAAAAATACCATAAAATGAAGATTTTCAACGAGGTGGCAAATTTACGGGGTTCTCAAGAGCTCGGCTCTTATCATTTCTTTCCTGGCGAGGATACTCAAAGTTCACCATTCACTGTACACAGTAACATTCACCAGTGATGTGCCTTTAACCTCTTCCACAGTCTTGCTCTCATCTTTCTCCTTTACACAGTGTCCATCACAAGGTCACTTCGTCTGACTTTACTTCTTTGGATTATCCGACGTAATGTATGTACATATACGTTTCTATATATGATAATTGTGGTCACCTAAATTTGTGTAACTTTATTAATATGTATATACCAGGACTTTAAGCTTATTTACAGTGCCTGACATCCTCTAACTACTGACGAATCAATATTTTCCTAAATATTTCTTTACGTCATCTGTCAATTTTTAATCCTGTGTTGTGAACTCTTATATTTCCATCAACATATTTGTATCCCCTCATGTCTGTCATCCACTTGTACACGTGTATCCCCTCATGTCTGTCATCCACTTGTACACGTGTATCCCCTCATGTCTGTCATCCACTTGTACACATGTATCCCCTCATGTCTGTCATTCACTTGTACACATGTATCGCCTCATGTCTGTCATCCACTTGTACACATGTATCCCCTCATGTCTGTCATCCACTTGTACACATGTATCCCCTCATGTCTGTCATTCACTTGTACACATGTATCCCCTCATGTGTCATTCACTTGTACACATGTATCCCCTCATGTGCCATCCACTTGTACACGTGTATCCCATGTGTCATTCACTTGTACACATGTATCCCCTCATGTGTCATTCACTTGTACACATGTATCCCCTCATGTGTCATTCACTTGTACACAT